TGGATTTGTAAGGTAGAATTGGGATCATGATAGTGGGGGGAGGAAGCATTAAAGAACTAGAGGAAAGTTGTATGTTTCATCAGTGCTATACTGCACCCTGACTGGCTAGTCTCCTCCCCATGGAGGTATATTACTTTTAGACTAGCCATACAAGACATTGTCTTGGCTTCTGGAATGGCTGTTTCTGGGCAAAGCAGGCCACCGTGTTGAGAGTACAGTTGCACAGCCCCAGCGAGAGGAACTGAGGCTGTGGACTAATAACTAGACCTACTGGCCAGCCACTGAGTGGTCTCCTTGGAAGTCAGCCTTCTAGCTTGAGCCAAGTCTGTAAATGACTGCCAGTCCTAGCTAACATGTTGACTGCAAGCTCATGAGATACCCTAAGCTAGAACTACCCACTTTAGCCACTGCTGATCCTTAACCCACCAAAACTGTGAGATCATCAACGCGTGTCATTGTAAGCTTTAAGACTGTGAGGTGATTAGTCATGGAGCATTATACAACTGCTAAATCAAGAAACAAACCCACTGCTGTCAAGTTGATTCCAACTCGTAGGTTTTCCAGGATTGTAGGTCTTTCTCCCAAGGAGCTGCTGGTGGGTTTGAACTGCTAACTCGCAGTTAGCAACCCGCCATTTACCCAATGATGCCAATGGAGCTTCTTCTATCCCCATGAAGGAGGACTACAGTGTGCTTGACTAAGCCGCTGTGCTTTCAGTCTCCTTCGATGTATGTAACATTGAGCAATGAATAAGGAAGACCACAGCGGAATTGAGACATTTGAATTATAATGTTGGCAAAGAATATCGGAGGTACCATGGACTGCCAGGGCAACAAACAAATCTTTCTTGAGAGAAATACAACCAGAAAGCTCCTCAGAAGGGAGCTTGGTGAGACTTCACATCACATACTGTAGACTTGTTATCCGAAAAACAGTCCCTGGAAAAAGACACCATGCTTAGTTTAGTGGAGGGTCAACCAAAACCAGGAAGACCTCCAGGAGATGGACTGCCTCTTTGGGTTTCCAATGCTGTAAATATTTACAAGAACACAAAGCCTCATCTTTCTCCCAAAGAGGAGCTGGTGCATTCAAACGGCTGACCATGTGGTTAGCCTAACCTCCTACGCCACCACGGCTCCTTCATTTGCCCCTTAGTACTTACCACTAGCTTAAGCTTGTCTTAAATCGAATATTTTTAAACGCTGAGACAGATCGCTAAGCAGTAAGTAGTTTGATTATGCTTTGTCTCCCTTAAAGTTATATATTTAATATTTAGCAGGCAGTGTCTCATGATTTTATTTTATTTTTACTTAGATT